TTTGGGTGTTTGGGATTTACAAGGTTTCATATTTCCCACAGGTTGTTTGAGCTCAAGGAAATCTGATGTTGCTCTCCGCAGCTGCACTAGAGAGTATCTGAGCCTCTTGCACAACTCCAGGGTCATCCAAATTGCAAAACTATGCAAGCTTCACAGTTTCCAGTTTATCTTTCTTTTTGAGGTTAAAAGAAGAAGAAGAAGAAGAGGTAGCCTTTTATTTAAAAGTCTGGAAATGCTGTCCTTTCTGTGTGATGCTAAACACGGTTCATACAAACTGTCCTCCTACCATCCCCAAAGCTGGAGGTTTTTGTAAATGGATTTTAACTGGTTACTCCCAGCAGCATTAAAGTGACATTTGGAATTCCTCAGCATAATCCCAGTAGGTAGCCCACTTAATGCTTCTACAGCAATTTTGCATTAAGGTCCAGTCACTTTTGCATTAAATCCATTAGAAGGGTACAAGGCAAAAGCAGAGACCTGCAGATGAGTGTAGCAGACTGAACATATTGAGTGGCAATAAATTTTATAACTTAATGAGAAGCAAAAGGTGGTCAATTGAGATATGAGGTTCTACATTTGAGAAGCCAGGCAGAACTATATAGGCCGATCACCCATTCCTTTTTTTCAACAAAGGTCACAATCTTCATTTTAGGTCAGCTTTTTTTATAAACCAACTTAAGGGATTCTGGCTCAACCCTTGCCGAACAAATTTGCCATTCTCTCTGCTTGGCTGTCATCCTGCTTAGCAATGAAATGAAATGCAGGGGCTAAATTGATAGATTTACCAAAACTAAATGAAGTTGAAGCTCGGGGAAAAGTCATGCTAACCTAATGAGCTCAGATACATGAAAAGATTGCTTGCGATGAACTGGTGCCTTTCAGGGTAACTCTGCTGCAGTCATAAAAGGACATAAAAACAGTGGCAAGTGCAGTGCTTTTTTCTGTGGGGACATAGGGGTACGCATACCCCTAAACATTTTGTGAATCTAAGTTTGGCCTCATTGAGGGGCAGTATTTCAATATGAGCAGGAAACTGAGACTACTCCTCACTGGAGGTGAGAGGCCGTGCAAATGTTGAACTAGTGCCTGCCTGCAGCAGACCCTCCAAGTGTCCCTATTTTCCAGGGACATCTCTGATTTAGAAAAGCCATCCGAGTTTCTGATTTTATCCTGGAATGTCCCACTTTTCCTTAGGATGTCCCTATTTTCATTGGAGGAATTTTGGAAGGTATGGCGTTATCCAACCCCCAAGCCGTCTGAAGGCAATCCTGTATAGGGAAGGGGTTTTTTTTATGTTTACTGCTTTATTGTGTTTTTATATATGTTGGAAGCTTCCAAGAGTGGCTGGGGCAAACCAGTAAGATGTGTGGGGTATAAATAGTAAAATTATCATTATGGAATGGGACATCCCTATTTTCATCAGAGAAATGTTGGAGGGTATGCTGTAGTTGTAGAGTGGATGCAGTTCAATAGACTGAAGCTGCATCCTGCTGACTGAGAGACACTGCAGGTAAGTGGTTCCCAGATCTGAGAATTGGGAGTCTGCCTGTTCTAGACTGGGTTGCAACTGGTCCAGAGGCTGCAACTGATGCGGAATGCTTCAGCCCAGGTGGTGAGTGGTGCTTCTTATAAGACTCAGACAGGTATTACAGTATTACATATATTTTGTTTTCTTTGATACAGTCCAGCTTAAAACCTTCCACCATTTTGTCTGTGCACCTTAAGCTGAAACCCTGCTCTGCGTTCTGGATTTGTTCCCATAAGCTTCACTCACGTGCCTGGAAATTCTTCTATGCCATACTGTAAGAATGAAAGGTGAAGAAAGTAGGGGCATCATAACTGTGAGTGGAAGTCAACATTGTCCTAGGACAATTCTTCCACCATTTCTACTTGCCAAATGGAACAATCTCCACCATCCCCCTCCCATACACTATTCTGGGGTATTCCCCTGACCCACTGAAGCAGTGTGGAAAGGGGGCAGGGAGCACAGCAGGGAGGAGAGGGGTGGAAGTCCTGTTGTGCTAGTGGGGCTGATTGCACTGGTTTCCTCTAGTGCAATAACTTAGTTGATTTCGGTCCTAAATCGTTGCCCAGCCATGACTAGGAAGATCTGTGACTTGTCCACAGAGAGTCAGGGTGCCTGGAATTCCCGTAGGCTCATTTGCAAAGGCTTTCAGATGTGCTTAGATATGCCAGTTCACATGCTTTTCCTCAGATCCTGTTACTGTGACTAGCTTTGGTCTGTGGTCCTACTGACATGTCCTCTACAATCTGAGGGGCTCAGGGGTTGCACTCCACAGCAGTGGGGTATCTTTAGCCTGCACTAGCACAGTAACACAATGAATTGATAGGGATGGTCTAAGTCTTCCCAATTACCCTGGCTTTTTCTTCCAGTGTTCTTTTTCCATTCTGTTTGGAAACACTTGTTCGCCTGCAGAAAAAATACGAAGGAGTATGAATTATACGGTCATTTTAGCCAACGGGGGGTAGGGACGGAAGGACACTATACACTTTTCTTGAAATAAGTGCCTTTCAGAGATGTGCTTTGACTATAGGGAGTTGCCAGTATCCTTTCATCTGCCAACTTCCTCTTGAGTTCCTCACATTTGATGGTTCACTGCTTTTAGATTTGTTTCTGCCTGAATATCCACTCCAGTTCTCCTGTGGCTAATATATAGTCGTGTAGTGCCAATGAGAGTGTCGGCAACATGTTAGCGTACAGTGTGCCAGTATACAGTGTGGGAATTATGAAACAGCCTTTTAAAATAAAAGGGAAATAAAGGTTAGATGCAAGAGGAGAAGTGGCCAGATGCAATATTTATGCAAAGGACGGATGGGAGGTAATCTCAAGTCAAAGCTGTCTTTAACAGCAGAATTCCTATTTTTTATACAAATACAAATACTTTGGATCCATTTATTATGATTGCTTATGTGCAGCTATTACTGTTTCTTTTAATGACAATAAATGTGAAGCATTATTATTCAAACGTTTGCATGATTAGGCTTTACCTTAATTGTTTGCTGCAGCCAGCAGAATACATGACAGAGGCTGTATTCAGACAGCACTCTATTTCATTTTCCCAGTGTTCAACCTGCTGTTCAATCCATATTTATGGGTTCAACTCATTCCTGGAAGCATTGTGGTTGCGTGATAAATTTAGGTGTGCAATGGATGAATCTCGATCTAAGCAAATGGTAAAGCAAACCATATGCATTTCATCACAAACACCAGGTTATCCAGTATCCATTCAATTCATATCTAGTGCAGCAGTTTGCTTACATTGTGAATTTACCTAACTGGGTAAGCTGCTTGAGTACTTATGGTAGTTGTTGTTATTTTACTTGGGCCAAAGCATACATCCAACAAACATGGAAACAAATAGCTTGTTTTCTTTTAACAATACTTCAACAGTGCTTCTGTTATTTGATTACCAAAAAGAACACCCCATACAATTTGTGTTGATGCAAATTTTCTTGAGGCTTCCTTTGCGAAAAATGAGCTTCCATTTCAAGTTATGTTGAAATGTTCATGCATTTCACCTGATTAGAGGTGAAGTTTTTTTTATAGTCCTTCTCATCCTTTAAAAGATCCCCTATTCTAAAAGACAGTAACATCAGTTCTTTAACCAATCCCATCTAGGCTACTTCTCACAGGGTTTTTTTTTTTTTAAGATAAAGTTCCCTCGAATCACTCTTGAATATGCAAAGATATGCAAAAGTCTTGTTTGACTTAGTAATGCACTCCCTGGCTTCACAGACAGTTCCAGACAAAGGAGATTACATAGTTCAATATTCCAACTTTATTAATGGAGATTCTGTAAATTAAGACCATTCATATTTGTAGATTTGCATGCTAAGATGAAAGTAATCAAATTTTTTGCTTCCAAATCTGAAGTTTGAGCTCTGAGAGGATATGAAGGGAATGTTTTGTCCTAAGTACTTTTGCGTAATTCAATACATTATGGATTTCTTTATACTCTCAGTTAAAACATCACACACCAATAACAGCATATTTCACTTGTTAGATCAATGGTGTCATGTACATGGATAGTGCAAAGCCTAATTTTCAAAGAGATCTCAGCACAGTCTTGAAATCTGGATTTTTGCAATGGTGCAGCTTTGATTCTGTGCCTCTACATTTTAGACACATTGTTTGTTCTGTACACAAAACTGTCCAGGTTTCCATGTGTTAAAAAATGAATTTTGAAAGGACCAACTTGGCACTTGTTATATGAGTTTGAAGTGTGCAAACACAGACCGTGCACTTTGGCAAGAAAGACAACTGAACAAATATATCATACACCATGTGGAAAACATGCACAGATGTTATGTAGCATTAGATACCTTCACCGTAATCCACACTTCTTTGTAATTCCATTTGGGTGCCAGATGGGTTTCCAGATACACATATTACAAGAAAATTGTGGATTGTCACCCAGACCCACATTCATTAAATGGGATTTCTATTAATTTCAGTGGGAACTGTATCTGCAACTCATATGGGGAGATTTTTCTTTTCTCAATTTATGGAGTATATGGGTTTGTGGCAGAATGGCTATGGAAGTAGAACAGGCTGGTTTTTATCATGATGTTTTGGGGGTACAGATTTCAGATTGGCCCAGTTTTTGCGCCTTCGACGCCCATTTCTGTGTGCTATTAAAAATAAGCTTCAGTCCAGAATGTGCAGTGGCTGTCCCTTTGACTTTTTCAAGCTGGGAAAATATCTAGGGTTGATCATTCCAGTGTGGGGAACAGAATCTAGCTTGGTTATATCAGGCTGCCACAGAACTGACAATGTAGTTTCAGATAAGACTGAGAAATTATTCTTGATCTTCAGTCATGATATATTCAGCCTCCTTCCTGCCCAGATTGCCTGTTCTACGGATGAACACATTGGATAGCATTATGGCTAAAGAGTCTGAGCTATGAACTGAATATCCTTGGGTCCATTCAAATAACAGCTCAGTCATGGCTACTCATTGGATGACCTAAACTAAAATGCCTGGATAGCTCAGTTGGTTAGAGTGTACTGCTGATAATGCCAAGGTTGAAGGTTCAATCCCTGCAGGGGGTTGGACTAGATGATCCTCAGGGTCCCTTCCAACTCCACAATTTTCTGATTCAGCTCGGTAAAAATAAACCATTATTTATTAGCTTCTCCTCCCACTTGTAAAATGAAGATAAGAATGCATTACAGAATTGATGTAAGGCTTACTAGGATACTATGGATGGATATGAAGTATATGGAGAAAGTGAGCAGGACTTAAATAAGAGAAAGTGAGGTCCAATTGGGAAATAAGTTGATTCTACCAAAGACTAAGGTTGTCTGTGTTGAACACTTGGAAAGTAGCACTTGGGCTCAGAGGAAGAGGGTGGCACTGGTCTCCAGAGCACAGGAAGGGAAGCGAGTGCACTTAAAGAAGACTTTAACACTGTAGTGGGAAATCTCTGCATGTTTTCAATGTAGCATTAAAAGTGCTTTTTAGACTTTTACCTGTTGTTTGTGTTCACATGAGAATTTTGGTAATGGGGACAAAATGTCTAATGGATGCGTTTTAAAGTCAAATATACATTCTACCCTACACCGATATTGTTTTAATTGTGGATGTGGGAAATATGGCCAACATTTTTTCGTGAAGAAATAAAATGTCACACTCTTAACAACATTTTGTAGGAGAATAACTAATGAACATCAGACAAAATTGAAAGGTGAACTTTATCTGCAATGTTTAAGAACAGCAAATATCAGAATAATATTCAGCCACAGAATTCCTTTTCCCTTTTGAATATGTTTCTTTATATTGCTTCCTTTATTTTTTTATATCTACTAGCTTCTTAGTTTTTTGCTTTTATTTTTGTAGAAATTGTAAATATCTGTATAGATGTTTTTCATGTAGATGTTATTTTTGGAAAAATATATGGATGTATGGTGAGATTTTAAGTACAGTATTTAAGAGATTCTGGTGAATTACCTGTAAATTCTGTGTGAGCACTTGAGAGCAGGGACAGAGACTCCACAGAGCCCCTGCAAGTGTCAGTGCTGAATTCAAGAGGGGAACATGAAGCTGCTGTAAGAGAACTTATTGACAAGCCACCCAGAAGAACATTTTTTTTTTTTTTTGGAAAAAAAACTTGTGCTGTATCACTCTAGGCTCCTTGCCTGAAGCCCCAGGGTGGAATTTTTATGAAATGTACTGGCCTCCCAAACTGTTAAAGGCAATGAGCAAATGAGAGCACTCACAAGGTTCCTGACATCTGTTCTTTCTAACATATGCATGGCCAAGCATGGCAGTATTTATTAGCAGTAGTTATAACTATTGTGGTGCACTTTGCCATTGGCAAGCAATGAGCATCATAAACCTATTGACACACCACTGCTTTTTAAAATTGTTGTAAGCATCCATAACCACTACCTCTGAATATGGTAGTATTATCATCAGTGATAATCTTTCTACTATATGTGGGTCAGAATATACTCTCTTCATATAGCCCTATGGAAACATGAACGTTACCAATGAGGCAGGTCTGTAACTCCATAGAGCAAAACATTGACACAATGACATTGGCTCTACCGTTAAGCAAAATGGGGTGTCACAATAAGGTAGCAAATTGTTAGTCTTTGATTTATTACAATTGCGTTTTTCCTGCCAGGGACAGTGAGAGGCACTTGTGGGGTTTTCAGCTTCAGATGCCAAAATAGCTTTGTACTAAGCACCTTGATTTGGGACAGAGGGAGGTACCATTTGTAAGAAAAATGTCTTATGCTGTCCCTGAACATCCTTAACCTTCATTTCAACAAATGCTATTATTAGTTCATTTGTTCTGCTCTTCTTTTAATTGATTTGCAGCTTAGTTTTTGTATTTAAAAAGATACATTCTGGATACGTTCTGGTGGGGAGAACTAGATCAATCATTACAATGGTAGTCAAAGGAGTCCAAAATGTCCAAAGAGTTGGCAGGCCTGAAAAAGGCTAAATTTGCTAAAGAGTTATCTGTGCCAGCAGTCCTATGCACAGCAGCTCTGCTGAGCTTGAATAATGGCACAAGCAATCATTTTTATTTGTTATTCATTCCACAGGAATTAACCAAATAAATAGGCACAGGGAAAAGGACTGGCTTCAGTTGCACTCATACCAGCTATGTGAATCTGGAAAACTGCTGAAAATAAATCAGGGCTCATCTAACCACCAGTTTGAAGACATCTGTGAAGAAACTGTATAGTTACTGTATATTTGGGTTGGGCCTGATGCCACCACAACTGCCAAAATGTGACCAGAATAAGGACATTGGAGTCTGACAGGTCCATTGCAGTATTTTGCTTAATTGTATCTTCAGTTGCGGGCCTTAAAACACATAGAAGGTGTTACAGAATAACCAGCCTCATATAACCAACATGCTTAAGTCTCATTAATGCATGAAGGGTTTAAGATCATAGAGTAACCTGTCCCACCAGGCTTGGCTCACTTTGGGAGGGAAGAGGTAATCAAGCCTTTGCTCCCCCTCAGTCTACCAGAGAAGATCAGCGTGTGAAGTCTGGTTGCTGCAGCTCAGACTGCATGCGACTCTTGAGTTTCTATGCCAATAATTTAGGAACTTTCACCACTGTAACTAAGCCAAGTTTTACTGCCTGTGCAACTTTTCCTGAATGTTGTATGGCAGCAATGTACAACCGGTCGATAGCGATCAACAGGTAGATCACCAGGGTTATCCAGGTCGATCGTGGGGGTAAAAAAAAAGACATCACCCTGTAGCTCCTGAACGATCTTGATGCCCCCCGCCCCCAGTGCTATGTCCCATTGCCTGCGTCTGCACTGCTGTGAAAGCTTTTATTTCTTCTGTCGGTGGCAGAGTATGGGGTTCTCTCACCAAAGCACACTTGCCCCAAACTTGAATCTTGGCATCCAGAAATTCTACTTTTCATGCCTATTTCTTTTCCTTGCAACCAACAGGTGTAGGACATATTCTTGTCAATCACTACATTTCCCTCATATCTAAAGATACAGTTTTCTTTCAACAGATTTCTTCTGGATCCCGCATGTGTTGTTTAGCGCCTCCCTGTGGTTGCATGGGTGGGTACATTGTTTGCCTTTGACAAAGCTGTCAACTACATATAAGTTTATTTGCCATTGACACTCTCAGCAGGATGTTAACCATGGGCAATATATCTTGCAAATGGATAACAGGAAGTACAAGTGTCTCACAAACCCATTTCTTTTATCACATCTAAATTGTTTGTGCATTGCCCCTATTTTGAGGTGTATGATGTCTTCACATTGGGAGCATGCAAATCTCTCCACAGAGGAAATGCATGAACCTGCACTTTAGACCTTGCAGAAGAAGTAGAAAAGTAGGAAGAACAATTTAGCATCAAAAGCTTTTTAAACTTGGGATGGGAAAAACCTACTGGTTTTCCCTATACTGGTTTTCCCTATGCCAATTCCTATGGAAAACCTTAAGTAACTCAGTTATGGTGGTGTTGCTCTTTCACCTGTGACTTGGATCATGTATTTGAGATCTGGAGTTATTGACTCTGCAAGCAGCTTTCCACACTCCTTGATTGCAGCACAGTGTGCTCTGGATTGCATGCACTGATTGGAGTGGGGCTAGTGGGCAAATGGTTTGGGGCAGGAGATGGAACCAGATGGCCTTTTGATCCATTCCAACTCTGTGGTTCTTATTTCTCAGTGTATAACACAGAGTAGCCCTTCAAAAAAAGGAAAAAAGTAGATTAGCTTCTGGAGAAGTTAAACGCCTTTATATGGAGGATTATTTCTGAATCCTGATATGGATTACCATTGTTATTCCCTGTGGGAATATGGCATCTTTCCCAATGCCTCTGCCTGGAGAGATCTAAAAGCTTTTTCTTTTATTGCATCTTGGGCTTGGAGGCTGCTTAGAAAGCCTTCAGAATGCTAATTCTTATCTCTCATTTTATTGGTATCACAGGCCTACAGTTACTTCATCTCTAAAGTGGCTGATGTCACTGATAACCTATAAAAGATGAAGTTGAGAATCTGTGTGTGTGAGTCTGATCACTTAGTTAATTGAGAATATGAGAGTAATGCAGCTCATCACACCTAGCCTACAGCCCTGTTTCCAAGGGATTTTCATTCTCTCAACCTTCTCTGTGACATGTCCATTTTTGCCTCCTATTAAGCTTTATTTCCTTTCATACAAGAGAAGGGACACAACAACCTGTCTGACATTTCATGATATAACAACAACAACAACAACAACAACATTTATATATATATGGCACTCATCTGACTGGATTGCCCCAGCCACTCTTGGTGGCTTCCAGCAAACTATAAAACCACAGTAAAACAGAACACATTAAAAACTTCCCTTTACAGGGAATAAATGTTCTTGGTATGTAATTACAGGTCAATTTATAAATAAAGTCACAATGGAAATCTGGAACTCTATTATTATTTTGTTAAATACATAACCAAATGAATCATACTTAAGACACACCATTCCACATATTGAGATCTGGATAAAGTATTAAGAAGCTGAAAACAAGGCAGGGGTAAAATAAACCAAATGGATGGTTTCAAGCTTATAGCTCAGTTAGTTAGAGTGTGGTGCTGATAATGCCAAGGTTGCAGGTTCAATCTCCATATGGGGCAGCTGCATTTTCAGGTTGGACCAGATGATCCTCGGGGTCCCTTCGAACTCTGTCATCTATGATTTTTTTAAAAAATCTATACAGTGGTGCCCCGCAAGACGAAGGCCTCGCAAGATGGAAAACCCGCTAGACGAAAGGGTTTTCCGTTTTTGAGTTGCTTCGCAGGACGAATTTCCCTATGGGCTTGCTTCGCAAGACGAAAATGTCTTGCGAGTCTTGAGATTTTTTTTCGCTTTCCCCCCCTTTTTTCTAAGCCGCTAAGCCGCTAATAGCCTTTTAGCAGCTAAGCCGCTAAGCCTTTAATAGCCACTAAACCGCTAATAGCGCTAATCCGCTAAGCCGCTAATAGGGTTGCTTCGCAAGACGAAAAAACCGCTAGACGAAGACACTCGCGGAACGGATTAATTTCGTCTTGCGAGGCACCACTGTACTCTGCACTATTTAAACGAAA